AGAGGATAACAAAGATCTGGGCACAGAAGTCTTGTCTTTACCCTTTTAACTTAACTGAGTGATTTCACTTTAAATTCTCTAAGCATTATTTTTCCTCTTCGATAAAAACTGGGTAACAAACAAAACTGGGCAACAATAATATATGCCTTATGTACCTCAAAGGGCGAAAGACAGAATCTGATGGAATAATGTGTATGAGAGAGGGCTTTGTAGAATAAAATTACTATAAAAATAGGGGCGCCTGGGTGGCTCAGTAGGTTGTGTCTGCCTTCGGCTCAGGTCATGATCCCGGAGGCCGGGGATGGAGTCTGGGAATCAGGTCCCCGAGAGTCGAGTCCCTGGGTCGAGCCCCACATCCGGATCCCTGCTCAGCAGGGAGTCTGCTTCTCCCTTTGCCCCTTGCCCCGCTTGTGCTCTCTTTCTCAAATAAGTAAAATCTTTAAAAAAAAAAAAAATAACTTACATGAATTTTGGTGATTCATAAATCACTTCACATGATTTTTGGAGACACAGCTTTTTTTCATATGTAATATAGATTTTTTTTTTACGTAATGTTGCACATTAGTTTGACTATTTTACTAGTTTCCCCACAGCAGAAGAAATAAAATGAGTGCTCCAGTGAATATCATAAGCTATAGGGTTGTTGTTTTTTTTCTTATACATAATAATTAAATGTGCAATGAAGAGTTCTGCTACACATACTTTGATCTCATGTAATAAAAACCAGAACAGAATAGTTATGTGCTTTAATGGTAATATATATTTACATAATCACATGTTTTAAATTTTTCAGCATGATGTTAAATAGGTTAATGTGGCACTAATTTGTCTTTGGCCAAAAAAGGAAAGAAAAGGGGAAAAAAAACTAAATTGCTTAACTTTCTTTAAGTAGAAAAAAATTGTTAGCACTTTCACTATTTTCTATAGTATTTCTCTGCCAACACTCAAACCCATGTAGGAAAAAGGGCAGCTATAACAATGTCTTAAACCACTGTGAAACCAGATATATTTTTCAAGCTAACTGACTCATTCCTTGGTTAAAAATGCTCCTTCACATTGGACAACAATGGCAGGAAGACAGGACTGAAAACAGGAGCAAACTGAGCTGCACATTTTCCAGCGGGTCCCCAACCTTGCAGCTCACGGATTATATCTACACGCTTTGAAAGTGTATAAGAATCTAAATTTCAGACATTTTAGGAACTTTCCACAGTACTGCAGAGACAGTGTATACTAGCAGTATCCTATTATCCACTGAAGAGTTTTAATAATGACCTCAAAAGTCATTGAAATCTTCCAGTGCTCTTCCACATCACTAACTGTTCATCACTTATTTCATTATTCTGGTCCTCCCAAGGCTTTTGTGTAACCTGCAATATCATCTGTGGGACTAACACAAAGCAGCTGGACTTCAAGTTCTCTTTTAAAGCAAAGATCAGAAATGTTTTTATGCAGTATGTATATGATCATAAAGAAGAACGTTATTATATGTTAACTATCAAAATTTAAATTAAAAAATAATAAAATAAATAAATAAATAAGAGTGTTTCACTGGGTGGAACTCAAATTACATAGGAACCTTAAAAAAAGCCTTGAACACTTAACTAAAATCCAAAGAAAAAATCCAGTAGTACCTAGTGAATCTTAAGTTATTTTACTTTTCTTTCATACCTAGGGTTTCAATGGGCACGGTGTATTTTTCTTACACTTTTATTTTACTTTATTTATTTTTAAAGATTTTATTTATTTGAGAGAGAGACAGCAGGAACAAGGGGAGAGGGAGGCAGAGGAAGAAGCCGACTCCCCGCCCAGCAGGGATCCCGATGCAGGGCTCGATCCCAGGACCCTGGGATCATGACCTGAGCTGAAGGCAGACGCTTAACCCACTGAGCCTCCCAGGCGCTCCTGTCTTACACTTTTTAACTTACTTATTCCCCTTCCTCAAAAAAAGGGTATTATTAATTACATGGAACTATAAAATCAACCTTTTTTAGAAAACAACTTTGATGTTAACAATTTTGAAATGTGGCAATATAATCACTAAGTTTAGGAAACTGCACATTAAGGTGTTTGATATTGATTTCAGGGCTTGCTAAACAACAAGGTTCTGTGTGCGTGTGCGTGCGTGTAAGTAGATCCCAGCGATATACAGGGGGCAATACTGTAATTGTAAGTTTGCTTTATGGAAACTTAAAAACATTTCATAATTAAAATAAAATCTTAAATGATGAGGCTTTTGGCCAGTCCACAACACTTATTTAAAGAACAAAGCAGTTTAACCGATTCAGGATTTAACTGTACTCAGGATTTTAAGAGCAGAGTAAGGGAGGGTGGTGGAAAGAAAGAAGAAAATTTCCTTTTCCTCTTCTGACCAAAGGCTCAATCTAACTACAGTTGTAAAAATAAGTGGGAGATACAACATTACAATTGGGAACCAGAGTAAAATGGGTCTGGATAAGTACCTAATCTCCCTAATCCTTAGTTTTCTTTTCCTTGTAAAGTGACATTCATAGTTCCAGGAGGCCACTGAGAACATCAAAAATGGTAATGAATGTAAAGCCCCCAGCAGAATGTTCAGCATAAAACAATAAATAAATTTTAGTTACTGATTTCTAGTATTGTGGTCATAACTTTCACCTCCTTTTCTGATCCACCACTCATCATGCCAAGCCCACAGTGCCCTCTGATTTCCTACCCTATGTCCCTCACCTAGATCTGCTCTAATTCCCAAGGCATTTCATGCTTTGAAATTTTTATTGCCTTTCCATCACTATGAAACATACAAGAAAAAAGCAGAATTTATATCTGACAGATACTGTGAGGAAAGCAATCTGATTAATCCATTAAAATATGTAGGAGCCTTAATCTTCCTCAAGGTATCAGTAGATGTACAAACAACAAGCAATGAAAAAGCAGTATAAAAAAAATAAAAATTTTAGGAAATATTCTGGGGAGTTATTTTTATACTGAGCAATTGCCACATGGTCACACTAATACTGCCAAGGAGTCCACACCTCCCCAACTCTAACTCAGAAGACTCTTGTAAGCTATTTCTACAGCCTGGAACTCTTCCCTACCCCCCACCCCAACTCTGATTTCAGAGATCCATTCAAACATTTTACTTAAACAAAACCCAAGCAAACTTTAGTTGTAGCAACAAAAAGTACTCCACCAGAGAGAGCAAAAGGACAAGAGATGAAAAGAACAGAAAAAGACAAGGGTTAGATGGAAAAGAGGAAGGCAGGAACAATGGGGAGGTGAGGAAATAAAGATAGAGTGGGGGACCCAAGGAGAGGCAAGGCAGGGCAGTCCTAAACCATGAATGATGCGAGCTTGCCTCATTCTCAAAGAGACAATAGGTTAAGCTACGTCCAGACTCCCTCAGAGAAGTTGGGAATAAAACGTTGCCTGAAAGTACTGCTGATGTCCACACTATTATGTGGCAGATTGACCTGGGATGGCTCCACAAGCATTGGGACCAGGGGAAATTTCACTCATACAAAGAAGAGGGATTATTTAACAGTCAGTCTTAATCAGTTAGCAAATATTACAGGACATGTTTAAAAGTCAGTCTTAATCAGTTAGCAAATATTTTAGAACAGTGAATTTCCTTCATGTGGCCACTTCCACAGAATATAAAATCATCAAATGATTTTAGCCTCACAAATATATTTAGTTTTCTTTTAAGACTTGAAGGACATATTTTCATATTAATTCTGTTAGTTTCTCTATTGACGTTACTGATTTTAGAGGCCAAACTATTTTTCTTTCTAGCTTAACCATCTAATTTTGGAGGAGGGAATAGGTACATTTTTGAAATCTTTTTTTCTACAAAACATAAAAGTTAGTCAAGTATACTAAGAAAAATCTAGATTTAATTGCAGTATTGCAACTAGACCTACTGGAAAATATGAAACAAAAATTCCAATTCGAAGTCAACTGAATACATTATTGACTCCAAAATCACCGATTAAACAAAAGAAATTATATTTGCATTGATGTGCGAATCTGCATCCATTCTTGGTAGCATGTAATATATTCAACTGCTCAGCTCTAGCTGTCCTTGTAGCCACATTACCATATTATTCAAATGTATCTATCATTTATATGTAAATAGAGAAGATAAATGGCTTCTTCATAAGACAACAATTTTCAAATGATAAACAGATGTAGGCAGACATTAGCAAGATAAAAATGTTGCAAATATGCATTCTATTATATATTTTTTAAAAAAACATGGAACCTATTTCAAATTTTTTAAAAAAGTAGTGTGGTAATTTATAAAATGGGATCCTAATACATTCACAATACCAACAGCTACTCTCCTCAATAAAAGTCTCCACCAATGTCATTTGTATCTTATAAATTACATGTTCTCAAATCCATCTGTGAAAATTGGGATGTTAATTATCATGGTTACATCTCATGATTCCACAGTTAAAGGCTGAATTGGTGCTACATAAATACCATATGTTTTTCTAGGAGAAACGGAGAAAGATTAATTATGAGTTCAAGTCCAAGTCTTCTAGCAGTAATACTCTCAACACAGTAAGATCATTACATTGTATGCTATGCAAATTGGAAGTTTTAATTAATAGCTGAAATACGAACTGAGGGAGAAAACTATGAAGTCTAAATTGTAAGTATCAGGCTTTCCTCCACCCATCCAAAAAGGAAAAAAAAAATCTTAGTAAGAATGCTTCTGAGAAACCAAGTTTTAAGTCCAAAGGGAAAAGAACTTCCTTTGATGGAGTGATCACTGTCATGCTGTTTAATCCTATTTGATAAACCTAAAAATTACAGCATATCCAGTGACAAATAGATTATTAATAGATAATATATCTGATGAAAATTCAGTTTAAAATTTTTCTGGATTGTTCAAAATTATACAAACTTAATAGATAAAATACTTCGGTACAGCAACTTAAATAAGAAACTCCATCATAATACTACAAGATTTTTATTTATGTTTATAAAATCTGAATTCTTATTTTACTCACCACATATTCAAACACAAGTGTCAGCGTCTCCTTGGTGTGGATGATGTCGTGAAGCAGCACTATGTTAGCATGTTTTAGTCCTTTTAAGAGAGAAGCTGTAAAGTAGACAAAAAGACGATGGATAATAATCAACTGATATGTTTCATTATCATTTTGTCAGATGAGATATTTATTTTTCCATTTTCCAAGCCAATAACTATTCAGAATCAAGGGTAGTGGAAGAGAGTTTTCATTTAGATGAAGCCCCTCCCCCCACTTATTTCACCTGTTATTTGCTGTTAAACTCTAGTTAGATTCCATTATGGCCAGAGGACATACTTGGTATGATTTCAATTGTTTTAAATTTGTTAAGGTTTGTTTCATTACCCAGAATGTGGTTTATCTTGGTATACATGCCATACATATGGAATATATATTCTGCTGAAATTGGGTGGAGAGTTCCATAAACGCCAATTAGATTCTGTTGGTTGATGATGTTGCTGAGTTCTTCTCTGTACTTGCCGGCTTTCTGAAAAATGGTTCTATCAGTGACCAAGAGAGGGTTGTTGACATCCCCAACTGTAACTGGGGATTTGTCAACTTCATTTGAATTCCGCCAGTTTTTGCTTTATGTGTTTTGCTTTGTGTGTGATGTTTACTGTATATACATTTAGGATTCCTATGTTTTCTTTGTGAACTGGCTCCTTTATAAATATATAATGTCTCTCTGTCTTTGGTAATTTTCTTTGCTCTGAAGCCTGTTTTATGGATATTAATATAACCACTCTAGCTTAGTTTTGATGATGTATCTTTTTACTTTTTCTTTTAGCCTACCAATATAGTTAGATTTGAATATGTAAGTTTCTTATAAATAGCATATCAATGGGTCATGTGCTTTTTAAATCCATTCTGTCAACCTCCGACTTTTAACTGATATTTAGACCATTTACATCTAATGTAAATATGAATATATTGGGTCATCTGACATTTCAATCCATTTTCCCTTGAGCATCTTGTAACTTAGTCTTCATTTCTGATTTAGTTTTGTCTTTTCTTCTACATTTCCCAGGAGTTCAATTAACTCATTTCATTTTGGCTTTTGTGCATTTTTCTTCTTAGCTTTTGTATTACCACTTCAAGGTGGGGTTTTTAGGTTTCATATACCCAAGAGCCTGAATAAGAAAATTTAATTTAGATTACAGTTTGTTGTGTACAGTTTTCTTTAATTTTATGGTTGTTTTTTGAAATGCATTTATTTTATATTTTCTGAATTTTTACAGCAGTTTTATATAGATGTGCTTGTTCTAGTCTTATTCATTCAAGGGACTGTGTTTTTAGTTTGAGAGTCCTCTCTTACATCAGTTCTCTCCTCTATGTAGGTATTATGGATGGTGCTGGTGGCAGAAAGGGAGAGAGTTTGGGGTGTTCTGTTTCTTTTTCATTTCTACAGGATCCTTAATTTCTCCTTATTCTTTCCTTTTTTACTTTCACTGCCAACTTCAAGGGGTACGATCCTTTCCCTAAATATGTGAATCTCTCCTCCAGCCAACAGTTTCTAATCCTACTCGCTTTCGATCTTTTCTGTAGTCAGTGCTGTGAACCTCATGGAGTCCCAGTTTTCTCTTTCTGAAGTGATTCTGTCTGGGCTTCATCTAAGTCCTCCATACCCCTCTACTCTTTTATACAGTCTCTTAAACCTGTCTGAAGCTTCCCTTGCACCACTCTGCAACCATAGGCTTGCAGCATCTCCTAATGCTTTTAAAGATGTGGGTCATGTGTGCTTTTATTTGCTCTCCCAAAGTCATAAAATAACCTAGTTACTGGCACTGGTGGCCCTGGACAAATTCTTGATACCCAGTAATACTGCAAAACCACCCACATCTTTACAAAAAGATTTATAACACCAAGCATGAATCTTAATGTAAACCTTGGGTTTTGGGTGACGGTGATGGTCAGTGTAGGTTCATCAATTGTAAGGAATGTACCATGCTGGTGAGAGATGTTGATAGTAGGGGAGGCTTAGGGGCAGAGGTGGGGAGGAGGTAGGTGGTGGTAGGCAGAGAGTATATGAGAACTTGCCACTCAATTTTTCTGTGAGCCTAAAACTGCATTAAAAAATAAAGTCTACTAAAAAAGTAAAAATAAAGAAATGCACCCATGTTTTAACATACTTAAAAAAAAGCAAATCTAGATTATTTAATATTTTACTCAAATAAAATGATATTACATATATCATATATCCTATTTTAGATAGGTAATCATCATGCAAGATGGGCTGCACTGGGCATTCCCCAGAAAGGCAGAGAGAAAGCATATAGATAAATTCTAGTATGAGCACAATGAATGTGAGCAGTTGTTTTATTAGAGCTATTGTTATTGCTAAAATTTTATTTATTTATTTGACAGAGAGAGACGCAGTAAGAGAGGGAACAGAAGCAGGAGGAGTGGGAGAGGGAGAAGCAGGCTTCCCGCGGAGCAGGGAGCCTGATGTGGGGCTCGATCCCAGGACCCTGGGATCATGACCTGAGCCGAAGGCAGACGCTTAACGACTGAGCCACCCAGGCGCCATTACTGCTATGAATTTCTGTAGACTTCTGCAGGCAAAACTGTTTCGGGACCATATACTATGTTCCTTAATTGCAAGACAAACTTTAATAAACATATATTTGGTCCAAAGAAGGTCATCCAGAAAGAGAACTAATTTGTGTAGCTGGTTCCAACACTGGAAGACAACAAGAAGCGTGCTCCCCCTGAAACTCAATCAGCAACAGTGTATAGTCCAAGGCCAGACAAGTCCAGGCTACATAGTGAGGCCTCCTCTCCCGTCCTACACAGACCTGCCATGGGCAAGTTAGTTTTATACACTAAAAACCTTACAGTAAAAACATCTACAAGTTTATTTTACTGGAGCTCTGTAAATTAGCACACATGGGAAAATAATTACAACAATAAAATCACAGTACACGAACTATGAAGGAACAACCATCATATAGACTTATGATAGACTTTTGTCTCATTAATTCCAATAATTTATAATCTTCCTTCTTTTAACTATTCAACTGGCCCATCAGTCTTAAACAATTAAAATTTTATTAAATAGCTAGCTTTCAGATATTAATCTGGGGACCAACTTCACATTTGCTTATTTTAAAAAGGACACTTGGCCTGCACTGAACTTCCAAGGCAGACTCATCCTCAGAGTTCAATACTTCAAACCACAACAGGGTATTTGAAAATGATGAACAGGTATGGGACTTCACACCCACCAGGTACAGGACGCAGATAGGTGAAATGAATCAAGGGCCTAAACGATCCCATGTTGTATGAAAGCAATCTGGCTTTGTGAGGCAAGTTTTGGATATACAACAGGATTTGTAATCTTGTCCAATTTCATTTTTCAAGTTAACCCCTTAGCTTGTCAAATTCAGTAAGGATCTATCCTTATCAGCAACAACCCCAAAAAGGTACTGAAGCTTCCACTAAATTAAGAATCCCGGGCCCTGAGGATCCTTTACCTTGGGATTTTTTTTTAACTGCGCCCCCCAACCTCCGCCCCATCATCGCCTTTTTTCTCTCGCCACTTACACCTAAATTGTTGCTCATTTCTCAAAATAATGTCTTCACACTCATCATTTCCCATGGCATTTTTCCTACAATTTCAGGAAAATTGAATTTCTGCCATCATTCATCTTGGGGAAAAAATGGTTTGTTCCTGACAGTGACAAATATTATAGAAAAAAGTCATGTCATTGCTTTATATATTTTTGACCATTTCTACACAAAGACTCGAAGTCTCCACATTTCTTTCTTGTAAGTCTCAATTACTACAGATTTTTGATTTCTAAATACATTTATATACACTTTTGAAGTAGACTATCAGTTAAATAGGTACCCATATCTGTATTTGAAAGCAAACCTTCTTTCTTTTGAGCTTAACATCATAAATTTGCATTTGAAAAAGGACAGAGCCACTAATTTCATAGCTGATGGCAGACAAAAGGCATGGAAGGTCAGAAAACCCTCTGTGATATCTATCAAAATCCTATCAACATCCAGGAAGGTGCCAGACCTGACTAGTTATGAGGCTGCCAAGGCAGCAACCACTGCTCCCAGCAAGTTGCCAGAAACTGTAATTCCTGCTGTTACCACGGCAAGTGAGTCTCCTGGGCTGCCAAGTCAGACCAGTGATTAGCACCTACAAGTTCTAAAGCCAGTATGTCTCCCTTTTCAAGACAAACACTGTCAAAATAATTCTCCATGTAATCCTAATAATATCACGGATATAACACATGTTATTTTCTTATCGTTTACTGACAAACAAATCCTGTAACATTAGCGTTAGTAATTCCAGCATGCTTGGTTCCTCACTTGGTTTCTTCACAAATTTTAAGTAAACATATGGCAACATTTTAAATTCATTTCACCACTGAGGTTTGAAAAATTTTCAACTGTATGTGATGCAAAAGACTTGTAATTTTAGGGTTGGGGGTAAAATTCTAACAATGGTTTCAAAACTGTGATGTTGAAACAATACAAAAACAGAAAAACACTGTTGTGCCTAAAGATAATTGTGCCTCTGACAAAGTCCCAGGACAGAAGGACACAGGGAGCCTCCCTTCGTTTGGTAGCAGGATTCAGATATCTGCTTCTCTGCCATATTGAAACTTCCAACCTCCCACTTTGAGAATAAACATCTTCAATTTCCACTCCCACTTGGAAGGGATAAATTTCACCTAAACTCCAATTTCATCATGATTAAATAAATTCTGAGTTAACAGAAGAGTTCAGAGTATGTTCATTTTTTTTTTAAAGATTTTGTTTATTTATTTGCGAGAAAGAGAGAGAGAGAGAGCATGCAGGAGTGGGGGGAGGAGCAGAGGGAGAGGGAGAAGGAGAGACTCTCAAGCAGACTCCCCACTGAGCGTGGAGCCCAATACAGGGCTGGATCTGATGACTCTGAGATCACGACCTGAGCTGAAGTCGGAGGCTTAACCGAGAGCCACCCAGGCGACCCCAGAGTATGTTCATTTTATCAGTTACAAGCAATGTTAATAGAGAAAGAAAGGACAAAACCTTCTTTAATATATCAGTTTTCCAAGTCATTATATGATAATCC